GCTGGTGTGGATGCGAACGTATCGAACGCTCAAGGAGACTTTCTTCTGCATGCTTTGCTGTCGAAATCTATTGTACGTCGTAAACTACGTGGACTAGACTTGTGTTTCCGTTACAATTCCTGTTATGAAGACCAGAGGCGTTTGCAGAGAGCTGTGGTAGATTTAATCCACGGGCATTCAGCAAATGTGAATAGCTGTAATCGGATGGGTCAGACTCCGCTTCATTTGACGTTACTATATGGCTACACCGGCATTGCGAAGATTCTGCTAAGTCGTGGAGCAAATCCGAACGTACAGGGCATTTACGGACATTTACCTCTGCACTATGCGTGTCTTGGGTTCTGTGGTAATCTAGATGGAAGTGACGGCGAAGCTGTCGAAATAGTTCGACTGCTACTTGAGCAAGCAGAGAAGTATACTTGCGTCCTTGGAGCTCATACAGATCGCCGTAAACACAAATCGGCAGCAGAGAAACAAGCTCTAGCGATCGAAAATATTCTGGAAAAAGGTCTACAAAGTGTCATCCAACCTCAGTCGATCGTACTTAAGCTTGCAAATCCCAAACAAATTCTATCGACAATCTCGTTTCGTGGCAATTTCTTGCCGTGGCATTTTGCCTGTGGAGCGTACGTGCAGCTATCCTCGGTCTTGTGTCTTGATGATGATATGCAAAAGTGGTTTGAAGCCAATGGCCAAGTACGAGCAGATATCCTTCGATACTTGATTCAAGAATGGAAAATTGACAGCAGTACGACTGCAAGTGATGGTTTAACAGCGTTGCATTTGGCAGTAAAGAGCGACGTAAATGGCAATAATCTCCCCGTGATCGACGTGCTGCTAGAGAACTGTACTGCTAATGTGAACGCCGTACACGATCACATACTCATTGACAGCTTACCTATCATTCCTACTGGAGTTCAGGCGATCTACTGCTCTGGTGATGACCGTAAGCAAGCATACGTTTCGTCTAGATCACTTGATGGAAAATATCACATCATCTTGGAGGAAGGCCAGCACGTTGATAACGTTGCACGCGAACAACTGCAAGTTATCAGCGATCTAGGCACAAAACGGTCTCACTCTCACCATTACAAATACTTGTTGCCTATGGAGAGCAGGTTTGCAGCTCTGCATTACGCACTGCAGTCAAACCACGACACACTTGCGTTACGGTTGTTAAGTCTGCCAGATATCTCACTTGACCCTGAAGGAAGCGACCTCCCTTTACTTGCGTTGGCATGCGCTGCCTGTCAATCCTCTGAAGTTGTGAAGCGATTAATCACTCAGCAGGCAAATATGCGCGTACATTTACCACTCAGAACGTCCCAGTGCGACTTGACAGCAGTAGATGCTGATACTTCTACTAGCATTGCGAACCGAAAAAATGCTGCCGCGCTTCACTATGCGGTCATGTATGATGATTCTGCTATGGTTGAAGTGCTGTTAACCAGTCCAGGAGATCATGTGCATCCGGATGTACGGAGATCTGGAGATGGCTTCACACCGTTGCATCTGGCGTGTGAGATGGAGAATATGAAGGTAATCAAGTTGCTGCTTGACCATGGAGCGAGTTTAACCCAGCTTTCGAGTATGTCTGCACATGGAGTGTCACCTCTGCAGTTACTGATGAAGTTTGATACTATCGAGAACGATAAACTCAAGGAACTTATTAGAGAAAATTACTTACGCCCGGAAATGTTACTTGAAG